CTCCAGATTTAAATCTATAACCAGTACAAGGCAATAATTCCTGGCATGGGACCGACCAAATAGCTCAGCGGACTAAAGAGCCTGCAAGCAGGTGCAGGGGCCAGGGATTTGATCACCCGACCTCTCATGTCAGCCACGCCCTTGGGGCGCACTGAGATAGCGATTGAGACTGGGCGTGGTGGCTTGCCCCTGCAATCCCAGCTCTTAGGAGACTGTAAACAGGTGGATAACTACTAGTGTGATCTAGTAGTGAGACCCCGAACACTATAAACCCTTAGCTAAAATTTAAAAAAAATTAAAAAAAAAGGATTCCTGGTATCATTTGAAGGCCTTTAGATAATCAGTGGAGGATCTCTGATTGCCAATCTAATGTATGGCCCCTTTCAATAGAAAGTACCCAGAAAAGTCATCTCCCTATGTGCACTAAGACTGGTTATGGCTACATTTTCAGAGGGGTGAATGTTATGGATGGGTGAGTCAGGTGGAAATATTATAGGATATCAGGCAGAGCTGAGGCTACGGAGAGTGAGTACGGAAGAGGAGGACACATTACATGAGGTTAGAGATACATCTGTTGAAGGCCAGGCCTCAAGATGGAGATGGGCTGACCAGGCTGACAGGGCTCTGAAAAGGCTAAACAATGCACTAAAACTGGTATGGCCTTGTCCAATAAGGTCTATCTAAAAAACAGTCAGTCATGTCGCTGGGTGATGTAGACCTCCTGATGCATCTCCTCCAAAGAAAGGTCCTCGTTCTTTCCAGGTCAGTTGCCATGTGACCTGCTTCTCCACTGGAGCAACATTTCCTATAGGGCTATTTTTAATCTTATTGGTTCATTAGACTTTTGTCCCATTTATACCCACTAAATGAGCTTTCATCCATTCTATGAACTTGCTTTCGAAAACTTCCTCTAGACTGTAGGGTCTGCGACAATTCTCTGGGGCCCCACTCTGCCTCTTGACAGCTATGTCTTTCAATAACACCTTCCTGCTCTTAACTTGAAAATTCCTTAGATTTCATTCAATGTTAGAGAAAAGAAACTCTGCATATTGGATAATTTGAAGTTATACTATTTTCCTTATATCATGTGAAGATCTTATTTCAAGAGCAGGATGTGGGGAAAAGCGGCCCTTCCTCATTGCTCCCATGTAGATGGGATCTGCAACAGAGCCCAAATGTGCCTACCACCTGTCAGCTTCAGAGACACCCTGCCTGTGTTCAGGAACCCACCACCTGGGCTCACTGCAGGAGCTGGTCCAGAGGCAGCAGAGCCCCATGTGGTCTGGATGTCCAGGTTCTGCACCCTGGCTGACTGCTGTGGAGGCAAATCATCCTGCAACTCTGAGAGGTGCTGGAGATAGAGGTGAGTATTTTGTCTTAGGTGCTGTCTTCAGTGACAGGTATTCAACATTGCAAAGAATGGCAAAGATTTTTTTTTCTGAGAATCCTAGCAGATTTGCAGATATATTTCACACTGTGATCCATTTTTTTTTTTTGATTTATCATGCTTAAATGTTCAGCTTCTCTAGGCCACTTTGTTTACCACAGATAAAATATAAAATGTCCTACCTGAGGCTAGAAGATGTGCAGATGGACAATATCCAATGGAAAGAGAAGGAAAACATCTTGGAAATGTTGTTATTCCTTTAACAGAATGAATTTTCCTCTATAATACTGGTAGTGGATTAGAAATGAGGTCTTACATGATAGGTGCTCTTTTCATGGGAGTGAAATATGCATTAAAATTTGTTAATTATGAAATGGAAAGAGAAGTCACATTGCCTATTGTTTCATTAGTCAACAGTCCAAGACATTTGGGCAAATTCCAAAACCCTTCAGATGAGCCCTTGGCTCTGTGACCAACAGCTGGATGCAGCTCGTCTGTGGTTGGGATACGGATGTGGGCTAGAAGTGCAGCACCACAGTTATAGCTGTCACAGAAGAGCGGGCCCTGGTCACATGACTTTATCAGGCCAGTGCAGAAGCCCACTCTGTGCATGAGTGGGTCAAAGTGCCCGACTCAGGGTTGGATGCTTCCTGCTGCTCCCAGAGCATGGACCAGCCAATCCAACCCTCCTTTTCTACTTTGATAAGGAGGACGGAGTGGCCCTGGAACAAGTGACAGTGTGCCTGTGCACAGACATGTGGGATCCCAGGGTGACCTTGGATTTCATGGCATCTAGTTGTTACTCTGTGTTGATTTTTTTCTCTGATACCCTCTTCTGGATCTATAATCATAAATGAGGATGTGGAGATGCCTAGTCAGAGTGTTTTTGTACCTCACCTGATGTGAAAGGGAAGGTAAAATGTTCCAAATATACTCCTTTAGTATTGTAATCTCATTTACTAATTGAGAAAAAGGGGATTGGTAAGTAATAAGAAGCACAGCTCCATGAAGCAGTCTTTTTTCCTCACATTGTCATATTTTGCAGGGGACACCAGAGAGACACATCAAAATCTCTTCTGAAAATCAATGCCTAGTAGAGAGGCAACTGGACAACTTTACAACCCTTCAGAATGGTAGTCTCCTTTGCCTTTCCTGAGAACCATTCACACTGGTCCCTCCTCACTGCATACAGCGGTGGTCTATAACTCTCCTAACTGAGAATAGACAAATTTTCCCAGGACTGTGACCCTACTCTAGTGGATCTCTGAAATACTGAGACTCCTCTTCCAAATGAAACCCTCCTTCTCTGCCACCCGATAAGTATACTAGGTACTGGTGGCCTGCCATCCACCTTTGCTTCAGTGGTTCCCTGAGGAGCTTACCACAGGTCTTCCATTACACTAACTGCTCTACAGTTCTCCCTCTATAGACACTGCCTCCTTTCTCATTGTCTTCTGTGAGGTTTTTTAAGCTCAGTTTGTGATTTACAACATTCTAAGTTGGTAGGAGAGCACATAATCTCCAGTAGGTATGGCCTACTATCTCTTTAGGAAGTACCTCATGAGGAGAGAGACCTACTTTCCTTCAACAAGCTTGAAAGAACTGTGGGAATTTGTAAGTCTTACCTTTCAATCACAGGGAGCTATCAAGTTATGGTGGGAATTCATGCAAGGATCAGCCTCAGAGCCCTGAGTCAGACAGCTTGTACATTACATCAAGACCACGTAAGAGACTGCAGCCCCTGTCTTCCTTATCACTGGCCTCTCGCTTAGTCAATGGCCTGCCTTGCAAACAACATATGCCTTCTTTTTCTCCAGAGAATTTCTTGTTCAGCAGTGTTTTTAGTATACATTTTCACTAATTTTCCTCTTTGCTTATCTCAAATGAGCTTTGATATTTATGTTCATTAGCTGTTCCATCTAATTCTTGGAGCAGGACAAGAGCCTCAAAGGAACTGTGGGGCACTTCTCTTAACACAATGACTGTTTTAAGGACATGGAGTAGTTGATTCTCCACAGAGAGGCCCCCAAACTGTGGACATATTTACTAGCAAAATAAAGTGAGAATGGAGGACAGAAACATCTACAGATGTTTGGTCCATGCAATAAAAGCACATAGATCAGCACTAAAGATTACCAGGTGTTGTGCCCATCACTCGATAAAATAGTCCAAGACAAAAATTCATCAAACTGTCATTTGCATTTATAAAAATCACATGAAAATTTTGTTATTTTCCTTAACAAACATGTGGCACTATTTCAACTGAAAAATAGATATTGAATGGTATACACAGTTTTAGTTGGTTCATGTAACCATAAAGGAAATGTGTAATTTTTATCATTTCTCCGGATGGAAGTAAAATTTTGGACAATACATATTTTTGAGGTAAAGGCTGACAAAATTTTATGTTACGCTTTGGAATTAAATTTTATCTTTTTTTACTTTATATACTAAAAGGTAATTTTGTCCATAATTAGAAAGCATGCTTACTTGCAGTTTAAAGAAGTTGATAATTCTCTCTCTCTCACTCTCTTGCTCTCTTGATCTAGATATTTGGGGAGCAAAAAGTATCCATGAGCTTTTATTAACACAGAAAGATTGAAAATAGAGCATATAACCCAAGAGTACAGCTGTGGGTGGACTTGTGCTTTACAGAGATTGAAATCAGTAAGTTTCAGGAGTCAGTATTAAAAGGCTTAGTGTATGAGGTGTCTCACACAAGGTCCCATGTGCATGCCTTCTGTGAAGTACCGGGGGCTCTGGGAGCACAGACAGCAGTCTGCAGTTTTTGGGCACCCAGTACCTGAGGGCCAGATTGAGGGCATCTGTGGAGCTGAGGGTTTGATGGGAGTTGTGGGTGTTCTGTCCCCTTCTGTGGAGGTGAGATTGCAGCAAAACTAGTAAGACTGCTGAGAGTTGCCTCAGACACCTGATGACAGAGATGCTCCCAGGTACAGTCACAGAGGCTGGGAGCTCAGCCTCTAGCAAATTTTAGTGACCTCTTTCATTTGTCCTGACATGGCAGAAAAATCTAGACAAATTTTAACTCCTGTATAAAACCTATCACTAAGGAGAAATATTCAGCTGGTATATTAGGCATCTTTCCCCTTACTTAAGGTATTTCTTTGTGAAAGCCCCAGAAGTATGTATCTGTGCATGTGTGTGCCTACCTCTACAGAATCTCACCAGGACACATTGTGTTTTCTATAGAAGGCTGTCTCATGCCATGTCATTAGGCAGTGTTTCTGTTACCTCGCTACAGATCCAATGCCTCAGCATTTTTGGCAAAGGTGAATTTTTATGTATTTTTCCATACTTATCTGCCCTCCTTTCATTTGTTTTGTAGTAAGCATTAAACTTATTTTTATCTTCTGTTTGATTGCATTTTGGGACCAAGTTCTGTGTGCAAATTTGTATGCTGTGCATTATTGTGTTTATTTTATATTGTCTCCCTTTGTAGATGGGATTTCAAATTTGGTGTTGCTTTTTGATTTCTGCTAAAACTCGAATGGATCCAGTCTTTCTATAAGGAAATTCATGTTTACTTACTGCTTCTTTCCCTTTCCTGCTTGACTTTCTCTCCCTCATATGATATTTTGAGTTAGTTATCAGTGCTTGTTTGGGCAGCATATACTGTAAGTAGAATGATACAGAGATGTTTAGCACGACTCCTGCCCACGGATGGCATGCAAATTCATGAGGAGTTCCATAATATTCACCAATGAAAATAAATAGACTGCTACAGTAGATTAGGAAACAAAATCCAATATGCTCTATACAAGAAACACACTTAACTCGTAAAGAAATTGTAGGTGAAAGGCAAAGGAAGGAAAGCAATACTACATGCCCCAGCACCTCAGAAAAAAGCAGGGGTAGGAATCCCATTCTCAGATGTCTCAACTTCAAGCCAAGAATGATCAAACTAAATAAAGAAGGGCACTATATACTGGTTAGGGAAAAAAATTCAAGAGCAAGAGGTAACGCCCATAAATATATACACACAAAACACAGGAGCACCCAACTATATAAGACAAATACTAATGTATATGAAAAATCTAATATCATAACAGGAGACCTTAGCAGCCCCTTATTCCAAAAAGATAAGTTGAACACACATAAAATCAGCAAAGTAGTAGAAGAACTGAACAAGAACTTGTAAGAAATGGACTTAGTGGACATACACAGAGAGTTCCACACAACCACTGCTGAATGCACATTTTTCTCAGCTGCACATGGGTCATTTCTAAAATAGACCACATAGCAGTCCATAGGTCATGCTTAAGGATATGCAAGAAAACAGAAATTATACCATGCACATTATCTGACCTCAGTGCAATGAAACTGGAAATAAACAACAAAAGAAACCAGAAAAACCCCATAAATACATGTAAACTAAACAACAGTGTACTTAAAAACCAATGGGTCACAGAAGAAAATGAACAAGATATTGAACAATATCTACAATCCAATGAAATTCAAGCACAAATTATCAGAATTTATGGGATGTGATGAAAGAAGTTCTTAAAGGGAAATTTATAGCTGTGAACTCACACATTAGGAAAGCACAATGGGAACAAACAAACACCCAATTCTGCTCCTTCAACATCTAGAAAAGGAAGAGTAAACCAAACCCAAAGCCCAAGCATGGAAGAAATCATAAAGATTAGAGCAGAAATTAATTCAATCGAGATGAAGAAAACAATACAAGGAATTAATGAATCAAAAAGCTGGTTCTTTGAAAGAATAAATAAAATTGATAAGTCCCTAGTTAACCTCATCAAAAAGGGGAAAGAAAATATGCAAATCCAAGCAATAAGGAGTGAAAAGTGTATAATTACTGCAGACCAAGTGGAAATTCAGAAAATTATAAATAGCTACTTTGAGAATCTTTACTCTCACAGAATAGAAACACAGACAAAATGGACAGATTGCTAGAAAGGTACAAATTACCAAACTGAATCAAGAAGATATAACAGCTTTCAATAACTCAATAACAGCCAATGAAATACAACATGCAATAAAATACCTACCAACAAAGACAAGAACCTGATAGATTCACAGCTGAATTCTACAAGAAATCTACACAAGATATAATCCCTATACTCTTTAATGAATTTGAAAAGGAAACAGTCCTCCCAAAATCATTCTTGGAGGTAAGTATTACACTGATACCAAAACCAGGGAAACATAAAACTAAAAAAGAGAACTACAGGCCAATCTCCCTCATGAACATGTGCAAAAGTCTAGCAAATAGAATATAAACAATCATCAAGAAGATTATATACCATGACCAGGTAGGATTCAACCCAGGGGATGCAAGGATGGTTCAATATACACAAATCTACAAATGTAATACACCATATCAATAGAGCAAAATCTAGAAAACACATGATCATCTCAATTGATGCAGAAAGGCTTTTGACAAATTCCAACACATTCATTTTCAAAGTCCTACAGAAAATTGGAACAGATAGCTTTTACTTCAGTCTGATAAAAACCATCTATGACAACCCAATGGCTAAAATAAATCTGAATGGGAAAAAATGAACTATTTTACTCTTAGATATGGTACGAGAGAAAGATATCCTCTATCACAGTCCTATTTCATAATTCTGGAATCATTAGCTAGAGCCATTAGACAAGAGAGAGAAATAAAATGAATAAGAATAGGTAAAGAAGAATTTAAACTATCATTATTTGCACATAATATGATACTTTACTTGGAAGACCCAAAAAATTCCCCAATAAACTACTAGAATTGATACACAAATTTAGTAGCATAGCAGGGTACAAAGTCAATACCCAAAAGTCAATAGAATTCCTCTACACGGATAACAAACACCTGAAAGAGAAATTAGAGAATCAATACCTTTTATCATAGCACTGCAGAAAATAAAGCACCTAGTAATGAATCCAACTAAACAAGTCAAAGATCTTTACAAGGAAAATTACAGTACTCTACAAAAATGATCTTAGAGGACTTCAGAAAATGGAAAGATATTCCCTGCTCCTGGATAGGAGGAACCAACATTGTGAAGATCGCCATATTCCCAAAATTGTTATACAGATTTAATGCAATTCTCATTAAAATTCCACCAACATACCACACAGACCTACAGAAATGATTTTTAAAATTTATTTGGAAACAGAAAATGCCTAAAATAGTAAAGGCAATCCAGGGCAACAAAGACAAGACAGAAAGCATAACAATTTCTGACTTGAAATTATACTACAAAGCTACTATAATGAAATCAGTATGGTATCGTAAAAAATGGATTTGAGGATCAGTGGTATAGATTAGAAGATGCAGAAGCCTCTACAAACACATTCTGCCACTTCATCTTCAACAAAGTTGCCAAACATGCTTGCTGGAAGAAAGATAGACTCTTTAACAAATGGTGCTGGAAAAACTGGTACTCTACATGCTGAAAACTAAAACTTGACCCACATCTATCACCATGCACTAAGCTAAAGTAAAAATGGATTAAAGATCTTAATGTTAAAACAGAAACAACAAATCTCCTGGAAGAGAAAGTAGGAGGAACTCTTGAAGACATAGGGGTAGGCAAACAGTTCATTAGAAAAAAAAAATCAAATAGCACGGATAATCACTGAAGAATTAACAACTGCAACCTTTACTTATTGAGGATTTTTTACATGTCAAAAGAAATTACCAAAAAAGTGAAAGGAAAACCCACAAATTTGGAAAAATTTTTAGCCAATGAGCACTCAGACAAAGGTTTTCTCTCTAGAATTCATAAAGAACTAAAAAACATTAGGGCCCTAAATTTAAAGATCCAATCCAGAAATGGGCATCTGAAATGAACAAATACTTCTCAGAGGAAGAAATTCTAGAAGCTAATAAACATGAAAAAAATGGTCCACATCACTAGCCATCCATGCCATGCAATTTGAAACAACACTGAGATACCATCTCACCCTAGAAGAAGTGACTATCATAAAGAAATTAACCAACAACAAATGTTGGAGAGACTAGGGAAAAAGGAACCCTTCTCCACTGCTGGTGGGAATGTAGACTGGTGCAACCATTTTGGAAATCAGTGAGGAGATTCCTTACAAAACTAGGACTGGAAATCCCATGTGAACGCTCTACTGGGAATTTTCCCAGAGAAACTGAAAACACCACATGCAAGGGATACATGTGCACCTGTATTCATAGCAGCATAGTTTGTGTAGCCAAATCTTTGAAACCACCACAATGCCTGTCACCTGCAGAATGGATGGAAAAGATGTGGTGCTTTTATAGAATAGAGTTTACTCAGCTAGAAAGAATGATAAACTCAAATTCTTTATATTTAAGTGGGCAACACGATATGCTAATAAGTAAATAAATGAGACCCACTTGTATAAATACAGTATAGTCTCCCTAGTGTAACTGCTCAAAAGAATAAATAAAAATTGTAAGTTATAACATAATTAAAAGGAATGTGAGAACTTAAAGATTAAACAATGAAGAGAGGGCAAGAAGACAATGTAGGAAACATGATAGGAAAAACCTTACATCTATATACACAAGAAGGTTAAGGCAGTGATCCTGAGAATGCTCGGCAGATATTTGAAACTAGCAGTTATTTGGTAGGATTATCACCCTGCTGAACTATATATGCTGATACCTGTGAACTAAGCAACTGCACTGAAGGCAGCAATGTGTAATAGTAGTGTCATACTAGAAATGATCATAATTCTCGTCTTCTAAATACATATTGCTTGTCATGTCATACCAATTACTGCTGTACTATCTCTCAAGTAAAAGGGTAACAAATGACAACAAGAGACAAGAAAAACATCATAGGACTGTCCTGCTACAATGCTGAATATGGTTAGATTTCTAAATTTCTGTGTTAAAAAATGTAATTGTTTATTTTGTAATATTTTTTAACTTTTTAATTTTCTTAATTTTTTCTTCTTTTTTTTTCTTTAAATTCTGTAGGGATTTAATGTTTAGCATATCAATACTTCATGGAAAATACCTGTTCCATATTGTCTAAAATGTTTGATATTCAGACAGATAGTGAGATTAAGCTCAACTGACTATGCTATAGGTTAATAATATCATTAAGCTTCTCTACTGCAGGTTTAACAACGGAAGTTTGTAGACCAAAAATTAGAGAAAAAGGAGGGCTGCAAGGCCAGCCAACATTTTGGTGCTAACCTTTCAAGATCAGTGAGGACTGAGAACATAAGAGAACCTGTGCTATAACATCCTGTAACTTGGTGAAGTTCAAAATGTTCTGATCAAGAGATTTTGGGCCCACAGGAATGTGACCAATGATGTAGAGTGTGCCTAAGGAGAGGCATAAGGTGAGATAGCATTCTCTCAGGCTTTCACAGAGAGCAAGTTGGGCAATCAATGCTGTGACTCATCCACATGGCTGACACCGACAAAGCATCTACAAACTGTGGTACAGGGTTTCAGGGTAAATCCTGAGGGGATTTGACTGACCTTGACAGATACAAAATTTGCATTTCTTCTTGTATAGGTCTTTCTTTATTTTGGTCTTAACCATCTAGCAGAAAAGAATAAAATGAGGTATAAATAGTAAAGCCATATTAATATGCTGAGTTATAAAAGGCTCAGGTCAACAACTTCTGACATTGCCAGTCTTATGTTATGTTACGGAGTAGTGGACTATGTTGGATTATTTTGTTGAATTCATGCACTTATAATATTTGATTGGCAATGGCATACCCATCT